AGGATTAGGTATGTAGAATAAGGCATTAATATGTGCTTAATTACTACTAATAAATGGCTAATATTCTAGTAATATGCATGCTAATAAGCAACTAAGAGACCCTAAAATAAAATGTTACCTTAAGTTCTACTTCTGTAGTTATTTTGGTGAAAGTAACTCAAAAGTAATACAGGAGTCATGTAATACCTTACAATATTACTGTCTCAGAATTGTAATGCAAGGAATTACTTTTAAATAACAGTAACAAGTAATCTATAATGTATTACAGTTTGGAAGTAACTTGCACAACACTGTGTGTTACTACAACAAACACTGCATGTTTTCTTTCAGAATCATCATTGGCTGGAAGACAAAAATAGGTTACACAAAAGTTTTTACCTAAAAATGAAGATAAGGTAAAGGTGTGAATAATTACATTTTAGACACATTGTCAGTAATTTCACCAATGAAAATAAAGCCCTCGGAGAACTGTTGTGCGTCTCTGATCAACACACAGCGGTGTTTCATTAATGAATCCACGATTTTAAATGAATCGAGTGAATCAATGATTCAGTGAACCATTCATAAAGGCAGTGACTTGCTTCGTTTCTAAATGAATCAGTCATTTGAACGAATCGATTGAATGAATGATTGAATGACTCAAGACATGGATTTGCCACCACCTACTGGGGTTTATTTCTATGTTTAGAGTATTGTTTCTTTTTTTAAATAATTTCATATTTCACTATTTATTTGTATTTTTGTATGTTGAATTAAAATATTTCTTTCTAAAGCTCTCCCCCCTCCCCCCATGGTCACTGCGTAATTTGCACCCTGTGTATATATACATATTGAAATATAAAACTTTAAAGCATTTTATAAAATATCTATTGAGTACATCTAATACAACACATTTGTAACACCTTTGTAATATTTTTATACTTTTTTGTTTATATTTTAAAATATTAAATATAAAACATTGATTTAAAAATCGTGTATATATATATATATATATATATATATATATATATAAGTGCTGTCA